CTCAGGTCCAACAGAGTGCTAAGTCATCATGGGACAGCAGATCTCCACAACCCCCACCACTGCCCCTTCCAGCCCCAGGATGGGCGGGTGTCCGCCAAGGAATCTATGGCTGAGCTCTTCTCTGCCCAAGGCCCCTCCCGCCGGCTCTGGGAGGCGGCTGTCTCTGGAGGCCGGCCAAACTCTCGCCTCGTCCAAGTCACAAGGAACTGGGGGAGGGGAGACGGGCTCCTGGTCAACAAAGGTCCAAAGACTAGACCGTGTTTTCAGAAGAATCTAGAGGCTTCAAGACGGCAGTTCTGACATCTTGGGTTCCCAAAAGGATAGAATCAGCTCTGCCCAAGAGCTCACCCCCGAGGTGGGGAACTAGCCCAAGCAAAACCACACACACACAGTAGCACAAGATTTGTTACTCCAATAACACGGATTGGAACCACTTGCTGCAATAGCCAATTCTGAGACAGGGGTGAGGCGAGCAGCAAGAGTTTTATTATATATCGATATATAGGAGACAGAGGGGAATCAATTCCTCCAAAAACCAGTCTTCCCTACTAGAGAGAGGCCAAAGGCTTTATAGGGACAGGATTATGGGTCTTAGAAGTTTGTGTTAGTTCCCCCTTGAGGTAGTCACGTCTCAGATGAGTTAATCTTCTATTGATATTCTTGGGGGTTATCTGGCAACGTCATGGTTTTTTTGTCTCAAGATGGGTGCTTTGTTCAGTTTTTCATTCCTAGATCATTATCACTTGTTTTCTACCCTCCAAGAAGGAACATCAGTTAATCTTAAACTTTTTATAGAGACTAGAATGAGAGGGAAAAACAAGATCATGAGACAATGCGGGTGTTAGCAATGGGGAATAATAATAGTGAGGTGGACCTATGCAGCCTCTTCCAGATTTCCCTTCCATTCTTCCCAGCCCAGTCTCCCCCTGGGACCTTCTAGAGCACAGGCTGTCCCTCGGTTTTGCTGTGGTGTTCACTGAAGCTGCATATGTGCTACCGATTCATGAAGCCTTCTTCTGCAATAAACCAAAAGAGGAAGACCCTCAGTGAGCTGGATTGACACAATGGCTGCAACAACAGGCTCAAATATAGCAACGACTGCGAGGATGGCGCAGGACCGAGCAACGAAAATGTTTCGTTCTATTATACACAAGGTAGCTATGAGTCAGAGCCAACTCGACGGTACCTTACAACAACACCACTTTCTGCCAATAGACAGACTTTTCTCAGGTAAGTCCAATTTCACAGTGGCTCTCTCCACCTGGATGTCCTGGAGGCCCTCAAACTCAGCACACCCAGTCCAAAACCAGGCTGGCCATCTCTCATGGCCTTCACCCAAACCTGCATTGCCTCCTGTGCTCCCTGTCTCAATGGACAGCAGCAGGGAACCAGCTGCCCAGGCCAGAAAGCTAGGCTGCTCGCTTACCCCTCCCCCTGTTATTCCACCAGCCACCTCATCCTGTCCTTTCTGTCTTCTCCACATCTCTCCAATCCGCTTTCTGTGTCCCCTGATCACTGAGAACTAGGGCTGTTGCCTCCCAACTGGTCTCCAGACTTCTTGCCTGACTTTAATCCACTCTCCACACTCCATGATTCATCCATCCATTTGTTCAACAAATAACAAGCACCAAGCACCTTGCAAAAGGCTGAGAGTGCAGGGATGAAGAAGACAGAAACTATGTCTTCCCTCCAGGAGCTCAGAGTAAACTGTAGCAGGGAAAGCAATCAGAAAGTCATTATAAAAAGGTATGATTAGTATGTATACAATTATATATGCATATATAAAATATACGGGGCCCTGGTGGCGCAACGGTTAAGCGTTGCTAACTGAAAGGTTGGCAGTTCAAACCCAGCCAGCGGTTCTGCAGGAGAAAAGAACTGGCAATCTGTTCCAGTAAAGCCTAGAAAACCCTATGGGGCTGTTGTATTCTGCCACATGGGGTCACTAAGAGTCAAAAATCGACTCGATGACCGCTAACACCAACAACATATATAAATACGTCAGATATTATGGTTATTAACCTTCATAATTCATGTTGTTGTTAGGTGCCGTCGAGTCGATTCCAACTCATAGCAACCTAACAACATCACTTACACGAGCTACAAATATTGTCAACTCAATTGTCATTTGTTTAAAAGTGGCAAAGTTAAAAGCTTTGTTCATGGCATTTTTTTGTCTTCCAGCTTTTCATATTTAAGTAGTCAAATCTGCCAACAGTCCCCTCGTGGTTTCTGACAGCCTCAGAAGAGCATTCCTACCCCCAAATTATCAAAGATAATCTTCTATATATTCTTCCTGTACCTTTATAAGGTTGTTGTTTTTTGGCTTGGATTTTTAATCCATCCGGAGCCTATTTTTAAATACAATGAGTCATTGCTTTCCAAATGACCACCAATTGTTTTGACATCATTTATTGAACCCATTCTTTCTCCCCTAATTTGAAATGACACTGTATCATATACCAAGTGCCCATAAATATGTGGTAGGATTGTTTTGTTCCCTTAGATGTAGTCATCTATTCCCGTGCCACTACCACACTGCTTGTAGTGCTTCATAGGACTTTTTTTATATCAGGGGGGCAAGCCTATACTCATAGCCCCCTCCACCCTCCCTGCAAACGTTTATCAGCTAGTCTACACACCTACTCTCCCCAATCAACTTTACGATCATTTTGTCAAGTTGCAATAAACCACTGAGTTTTATGGAAATTGCACTGAATGTATAGGTTTCTTTGGGGATGATTGCATCTTTATAAAATTGAGGCCTCCCATCTAGAAACATGGTACCTCTTCATTTATGCAAGTTGTCTTTTCTGTCCAGCAGTAAATGTTCATAGTTTTCTTCCCGCATTTTTCCTATTAATTTTGTTGTTCTGTTGGAGGCTCAAAGACCAAATTCAGGACACTGGCTCTAGGAGAGGGCTCTCTCTCTCTGTTAGGACCGGAGGAAGGGCCTTGCCTTTTTGAGTTTCTGCTCCTGTTTGATCTTCACGTGGTTTGGCATCTCTCTTCCCCCATTTCTGCTTCTCTGACTTGTTTAATCTCTTTTATATTTCAAAAGAGATTTGAGTCAAGATACACCTTACACTACTCATGTCTCATTAACGTAACCAGCTCATTCCCAAATGGGATTACAAAGACGGGGCATAGAGGTTAGGATTCACAACACATAGCTTGGGGGGGGACATAATTCAATCCGTAACACCTGGCTAGAAATTCCGTCACGTCCACGTGTCTCCAGGGTAAAGTTTAATCCCTTTTTACGGCACACAATTCTTCCTGGCGTTGCCCATTCCACCCTTCCAGCATTCCCAACATGCACTCTCCTCTCTAGGCCAACACACTTTCTTTGGGTACTTTAAGTTTCCTTGAACAAACCATGTATTTTCACACTTTCATATCTTTGCCTGTGCTGTTCTTTCTGCTTGGAATTCCCTCTCCACTCTCCTTCCCCACTTCATCTTCTTTTTGATTAACATTTTCTTCAAATTCAGCTCAAGTATCACTTTCTTAGGGAACCCTTCCCTGACCTCCTGTCCCAGAGTGGGTAAAGCACCCCTCACAACACCCTCTGCTTACTTTATTGTAGCTCTTACTTTGCTAAAATTTTTCCCTGAAACTAATGTATATTTATTTTGAAACACATAAAGACCCACAAAAGAGGCAGTCATAATTCCATCAGCAGCTTGTTTAACATTTTAGTGACATTCTTTTTTTTTTTTTAAGACTTGGAAGTCCAGCTTCCCGTTGCAAGTTTGTGGGTATTCTGAATAGGGAAAAGGGTCTTGATGGGTCCCCCCATGAATGTGTGGAAGGACCTGGCTGAGAATAGGGGACTTCAAAGCCCGCAAACTGGGAGGCAGGAGTCCGCCCGACCCTAGCTGGGTCCAGTCCTGCCTCCCGCAAATTCACATCCACTCTACGCGTGAGACAGCTGTGAGTCACACACATGGCCCTATCCCTCCTGTCGCCCCACCATTCGACAGATGCTTCTCACCAACGACAACCCCAGGAGGCGGCTCCTTGCAGGGCCTCCCCAGCCTGAGGCTTCCATGACTGGGGCCCATAAAGAAGCCATCTCACAGCATAGTCTCCAGATCCAAGTCGCTTCTCCTTTCTTTCTAACCCCAGGAGCTATGTTTGAGTTTTAAGCGCCACCAGCGATTTTCTTAAAAGCTCATGTGGCACACCCAACGACTCCCTGGAGGAAGGCGGTCCTGGTCTCTTCGGAAACACCGCCTGCTCCAGCCTTTGTTGTACTAACTGCGCAGGAAGCCATATTTGCTTTCAGCAAAAGGCGGGCATGGTCACCTGCAGTCAGAAGGGCGGGAGCAGATAGAAACTAGCCCGGGGAGGGGTCTCACTCCCCATCGATTTTGCACCTTCCACGGCTTTGAGGAAGAGAAAGTGAGCCTTTGGAAACCCAACCTCTGATTCACTCGGCCACCCGAAGGCCCACGCTTCCACCTTCCGTTTTCCCAACTTGCAAAACGAAATCATTACTTCAGGGTGTTGTAACTGCTTCTGGACTGCTCTGATTTTTAACATGTCCTTGGCCAAGCGCCTCGAGGTTCCTCTTTGGCAGCTGAGAATCCCAGGGTCGTTTTCCGCCGGGCACGGGCCCAGGACGCCACTGGAGTCCGGGCTCCGAAGTGAGCTACCCGCTACTCCCCATGTCTGCACTCCAACCCCACCAGGCGGGCCGCAGAGGCACCCAGGTCGCCTCCTCTCATCCCCAGGGGCTCCCAGCCCTTCCCGCGCCCTTTGGTCAGAGCTCGCCACAGCCTATCGGGGGGGGG